GGGGAGACCGCCATGTGGCTCCTCTCTCTCCAGACACGGCAACGGACGCTGCCCGATGGCCACAGGAAATGACAGCTTCTCCTTTCATTTCTCTTGCCTACCGACAGCCAGGGAGGGGCCTCCCAAAGATGGCAGACGTGGCCAGGCACCCATCCGTCGCGTACATCGCCCTGCCCCGGCCGCGCCGGGGGCGCGGTGCTCCCTTCCTCCCCGCACCCCTCCTGGGGCTTCTCCGGGAGGAGCCCCTGCACAACATGTCGAGCAACCTCGGGAGCGATGCTTGGCACGCTATTCCAGCACACACAAGCCCGCACGTTGGGCTGACATCTTCCACTTCCCAGAGCCATACCAGACCTAGATCCAGGCATACTGCACTAGTGCTTGCGGGCAAGCAGGCCACCACACAAAGGCAGGCACTTCCTGGTCAGCATGTGCTACCTCCTGACATGCGGGAGCCTCTTAGTCCAGAAGAACCGCGTGCCAGGCGCTCCCGCCTGCAACGCCGCCTGCCCTAAGCCTCTCCGAAACAACCTTACGAGCCGGCGGGGACTCACGGCACAGGGATGCCCGCAGAGAGTGCGGGGATCCCGACGGACATCTCCGTACTGTGCCACGACAGCGATCTTTGCCCACAAGATTACCAGGACTTGGACAAGGAGATCGGGGGACCTGGATTCGCTTTCCATGGATCCCTCCAGCTGGACGGCCAGGGACTGGATGCCAAGGGCACGCCAGCTTCCCCAGCCCCTAGAGCGCTCCCAGGACAAGGGTGAGACGCTTGCCGTCCGAAGCAGCAGAGAAGAACCCGATACGGCGGCACGCCATCCCTAGGCCCCCGACTCGGACTGCTGCCTTCCTGGAAAAAACAACCACAGCAGCACCACTCAATACTGACCAAATCCCAGGAAAGTGACAGGCGGCGTAGTATCGCCGGAGCAGCGTGCGGTCTGCAGAGAATTTCTTCGACCCTGAGTAGTACTAATCTCAAGTACGTTCATGCCTAGTGTTTGGTAAGCCTACCATGACATTGGCACCGTAACTCCTTGCTGGTTCAGAAAGCCAGTGAGAAAAAGAGAATGTGAACGTAATGCTGCCTCGTTCAATGAGCCTGTGATGGATCTCCTTCCTTGACCGCTCTAAACCCAAATGGCCTCACGCGCCAATCCGCGCTCTCCGTCGAGCCCGGGCGCGTGCCGGTTTGGGCCGCTGCTCGGGAAGACCGCGTGACGCCTTCCCTCCTCTCGCCTCCCTCCCAGACGGGAGGCTGCCGGGCACCCCAGTGTGGGGAGGGATGGCCGC